GAGAGAGAGAGAGAGAGAGAGAGAGCGAACATTAATCTCTTATTTGTTTTCTGCGTCGTTAAGCAAAACCAACGGCCTCTGTCACATTATTCGGGTTATCCGCAGTCGCTGTGATATGACAGGAGGTAAAAATAGGAGTTTATAAAAAAACATCCGCAATGAAAACATTTACTGAGAGATCTTTGTGAATCAAATTATGGTCATAAAATGTATCTTGTCTGATAGGGTTCCTTGTCTCCAGTTATGGTGCCGTGTTATGATTTTATTTCACCCCGCGGAACGATTATAAAAACGCACTTAAAAACAAACAAACAAAAAACAACAAAAACAACCCTATTTAGATTCTAGAATTACTACAAAATGTGCAGCAACATCAGCATAAAACACTTGCAAAGTTAGCTCTGTAAATTTTATTTACTAGCGAGAGTTGTTTGATTACATAATTTAAAATCCCAAATAGATCTGAACTGTTCAAGACTACATAGCTGCCCAATGTTCAAAATTGACTTATTTTTATGTATTTAACGTTCTAGTTGGTTACTACCAAACTATCAGTTCTCTGCGCACCAGCTGTGGCAATAGAATGAATATAATAATACTATGGTTTTTGAGCAAATGAATGTTATGTATAAATTTTGTGGGTTTTGTTTTTGTCCCCAGGAAAGAAATTTATGTTTAGGGGAAAAGTGTTTGATGATGAAGATGATGATGCACTTTGGTTCTGCAGCTAGTGTAGTCATTTTATTTTGAATGTTCTTGATGAAGCCTGTAGAGGGCGAAACGTTGAACGTGTCATTAAATATATTTTGGAAATACATGTACTACCAAGTCTCAACCTTTTTACTATCTGCTGTATACAATGATGATGCCGATGTCGATGACGACGATGGCAGCAACGCTGATGATGGTTATGATAAAATTAACCATGATGTTTATGAACCTCCTAACCCGAATTTCATGACTATGCTGTGTGTTACATTTCAGGTGTGAAACCCTTCAAGTGTCAGCAGTGTGACTACTCCACTGTGGAGAGGAGCCATCTGAAGGTGCACTACAGAATACACACTGGTGAGTACTTGTCTCTGACTCTGATTTTGTGTGTGAGTGTTTGTGTGTGTGTGTGTGTGTGTGTGTGTGTGTGT